ATCTTGTGGCCCACTGAGATGAAGGAGTGTCACTCATGCAGGCCACTCACTAGTCTAGTTTGCTCTTAACTATTATAAATCTATTGTAGTCAGTTGTGCCAGTTGATGTACACTAGGTAAAGAGATAGGCCCCTTCTATCTCTAATGTAAAGTGAAGTGGAAACAGGGCTGAATTATTTGTAAAGTCCAAAGGATTAAGTCCCTGTACAATAATGTTAATAACTAAAAGGGGGTAAAACAATCTGAAGAAGGAAACTGAAGGGAAGTACTCCTCAGTGCACAGCTGTAGTCATGGCAGATCCATTGTAATAGTCACAGCTTTGAATTTCTTTGCCTGATGTCACTGTAACCCCAGTACATAAATGTTACCTTTGAGAGATCTGAAAGCCTATAAAATGTACCAGTATTTCCTCAAAATTTCTCAATTTGCAGACACACTTCAACCCATTCACCTCTGACTGCATCTCAATTTTTTCTAATATGACACAGGGATCTCAAAATCAATAAATATGTCAGCCAACTAATAAATTGTTGTGGGATCCAAACCATCTTAAGCTCTGGGTTTTTTTTATTTAAAACTACAGTTATTTCATTTTCTTTTCTCAACCAAGCTGATTTAATTTGAAACAGCATGTATAACAAAAGGCATGAATTTTAATTCTCTCTCAGACACCAAGTTGTCAATTGAAATTTAAAAAAATAGTAAAAATTTCACACAGTGACTAGATTTGATCTTTGCTTTAAAAGGTACTACCTGAAAAACAATCCCTTTTCTGTCTGAAGATTTTTTACTTGTAAGTGTTACCTACCAATATCACAATAACTAAACATTTTAAAAAATTCTATTCTCCCCTCACCCCGAATTTGATATCGTGTATTTGACAAGACTTTCTGTAGTCAGTTTCAGAGCTTCCCATTTGCCTGGGTCTTTCACAAAACAGGTGAGAGAAAAAAACAAAATGTATACAAATAGGAAAATATGATACTCAAAACTACATAATTTAGACGTAGTCTACACTGCCAACTGAGTGACAAAACTTTTGTTAATCACAGGTGTTTTAACACACACACACACACACACACACACACACACATACACACACACGCGCGCGCACACACACAAAACACAATATTTTTCCAGTGGCTAAAAAAATGGAAGTATTTTGTTGGCAATAGTGCAAGCAAACAGCATTTAGATCGCCCAACCTGTGTCACTTAAAGCTGTGTGCAGATAAAGACTTATTTTAAATGTACTAAGTTTCAAATTGATAGTGTTCCTTTAAAACTTAATAGGGACTATTTAAATTTTGCACAAGATAAATAAAAGTTGTCAAGAGGCAGTCCAAATTTCTACATAATTATAACTCTACACATTTGGATTTTCAAATGTAAAACAAATACGTAACCTTTTGAAGCTGGTGCTTTTTATCTCATGTGGAGTCTTGGGACAGCTGCAAACTGCTCTGCACCAGACATTTCCATCTCCTTTTATGGGTCTGAAAATCTGTATCCATTCCAGATCTGTTAATGACTTATAACGTGCAGCTTTATCTATGATGGAGTTAAGAGGACAGAAGCCAGATTCATCTATGGAAACTGTGCTGGAAGACTCTTCATTTTTTCGGTCACTTGAAATTCCCGCCGTCTTTGTCTGATCATTATATTCAATATCTGTTCTGTTAGACTGCTTTGACCCAGGATGCCAGCAATTTAATGAATCTAAATGAGGACTGAAGTTAAGCCAATGCTCATGTATAGGTAAAGATACTCCAAAATTTTGTTGGTCTCTGCTTAGAAATGCATCTTGTGAAGCTTGAGATGTTTCCCTGACTTCCACAGACTTCATTCTGTATCTATTAGATACAATTCTGCTGTCTGGTTCATCAGTGCTTAATGAAGCATTCTGCTTTTCATCTTCCATAAACAAAGTCTTTTGTCCATGTGATAAGCCTTTAAAGACTTTCTGAAGTCGATTTAAGCGAGCCAAAATACTTTCTTCCTTGTCTGACACATTTATTAGCGGCCTATTCTCTGCTTCACACACATTACAGATTTTTTTTTTACTGCATTGTGTAGTCCCATATTCCTCAGGTATATTCTGAGTGCCTTCACTGCTAACTGTGTCTTTTTCGGTGCTATTTTCAAGCTCTGATAATACCAAACCTATGCTACAATGGCATGATAAAGAACTCTAGTTATAAATACTGCATTCAATATATGAATTATATTTGGTATAAACCATATTTTGCAGGACTGCAGCTTCATCTTGTGCTAGATGTGAATATACAGGCAGAGAGCTGTGCCTATACCAGGCCTGGGCAAAATATGGCCCACAGGACGGGGGATCCGGCCCGCAGCATAGCAGGAAGCCCCAGGAAAGCTCCCTGCTTTCATCGCTCCATCAGCACATGGCTCAGAAAAGTGGCTGCTGGCTGTTTCTCTTTCACTACTGTGATTCTGGAAGGGAAGGAGGAAGGCTTTCTTTGCTTCCCCTGCTCTTAGCACAATCCCATTGGCCAGTTTCTGGCCAATGGGAACTCCTGTTTGAAAATCAGGCAGCACACAAAGCACCCTCGCTCCCCTCCGGCTCATAGTTATTCACACACGCACAGGGGTGGGGCAGGCAGCTTGCCTGAGAACCCTGCTGGGCTGCTGGCTGAGAATCACCCAGGAAGTCTCCCAGCTAGAGCCACCTTATAGTACTCCATCTCCACCCTTCCTCTTCCCTCAACCCCTCCCCCCATGTCTCCCTACCCTACACAACCCAAACCTTCTGCTCCCCCCCCCCACACTCTTCCTTCCCTAGGTCCCAACCCAAACTCCTGCCTCCTCCTGTATCTCAATCTCCTGCTCCAGATTACAACCCCCTCCTGCCCTAGGTAACATCCCAAGTCTCTGAATCCCAGTCCCCTGCCCTAGGTCACAACTGCCCCCTTCACCCAAATGCCCTCCGAGACTCCACGCTCCCTCCTGCACCCTAATCCATTACCTCAAACTCCCTTCTGCACTCAACCTCCATCCCAGACCCTGCACCTCCTCCATTAATATCATGGGAGAATGTGGCCCTCAACCACTTTCCAAAATCTTGGAGTGGACCCCCATCAAAAATTATTGCCCAATATTGGTCTACACAGAACCCCAGTGGCATACTGATAGGGCTGTCAATCTATGCACTGTACATTGCAGGATTAGGAACTGAGAGGATCTTTTTATATTTTACACACATTATTACACATTGTTGGAACTGTACTTGAAACTATAAATTGTGCTCTTATTTTCCAATAAGACAATAAAAGCCAATTTTGAATTAAAAAAAAATTAAACACTATATTACTAGGCTAGTTTTATGCTGCTCCATTGCTCCAGATCTCTCTTTAGCAATTTCACAAAGGACAGAGAGAAATGGACACCAAAGGACTAGTCTCTAAGAACTGAATGTATGCTGAAAAACAAGGAAAGTTTCATTTATGAAAGTGGTTCAACATTTTTACATCTGTGCACTCCTGAAAAATTTTGAATGGAGGTGCAGACCCCTTTGGAAATCTTAGGCATAGTCTGTATATCCTGAGGGGCCCATTAACCACAGGTTGAGAACCTGCTGCTGACATTTAATATAAATAACAAAAAATACTGAAAGTGAGAAAAATTATAAGCATTATACTGAACATGCAACCACATGTACAAACAGGAATTAGGAATAAAAATAATTTGGTATAAAAATAGTTGTTTGAATTCCATATTGTTTTGGGGGAAATACATGCAGCTAAAAGTACATGGCTAAGAACAGCGTAAGGTACATCCTCTAAAAGAATATTCTCCTTCAAGCGCTCCAAGTTACTTTCTTAAAAACAGAGTATAGGTTGAACCTCTGTGGTCCAAGACTCTCTGGTCCAGCAACATCCGCAGTCCAGTAAGACCACGGATATAGCTGGACTAGAGAGCCCTACCTCAGAGGTTGCTGGCAACTGGAAGCAGAGCTGGCTGGTGGGGTCAGCAAGAGCCCTGGGGACTGCCAGACTGGGAAGCCAGTGGGGCTGCCGGAGCTCTGGGGGCTGAGCCTGCAGCCAGTGGGGCAAGGAGGGCAAGTAAGCTGGTGGAGCCGCTAGAGTCCACAGCCATTGGTACAGGAAAGCCGGTGGAGCCGCCACAGTCTGCAGCCTAGTGGGAACAAGCAGCCGGCAGGGCCACTGAAGTCCACAGCTTGTGGGACCAGGAAACTGGTAGGGACATCAGAGTCTGCGGGATGGGAGTTGCAGAGCCCTGAGAGGGCTGCAAGTGCCTGCAGGACCATTACCAGAGCTCTCAAAGTTGCAGAAGCTGCTCGGCTGCCACAGCCAGGGGCAGTGATGCCAAGTAGCTGGGCAAAGGAGCTCAGTGGAGAGGACGGCAACCCCATCCCTACCCCCTGACCTTTCCTGGTCCATAAAATTCCTTTGTCCAGGATTGTTCAGCTCCCAATGGAGCTGGATCAGGGAGGGCCAATCTGTAATTTAATCTTGACTAATTAAAAGACAGAAAGAAACACAGATAGACAGAAAGAAAAGCAGCCCCAGAAGCCTGACAGTAGTTAACAGAATCTGAAACACGAACAGAGGTCAAATTCATTAGATAAATAGTATGTTACAAGGCAGAATGATTAAACAGACAAAAGAGATGGCAAAAATTACTATTATTCACTATGCTATAGCTTATTTTACTAAAAACATTTATGGCTAGATTTGTTAAGTGTACGCTAATTCTATTTTATAAAATGTTATTTCTGACACGCTAGTTGTCTGACCTCAAACCTATGCTACAAACTGACTAACTCACATTGTCTCTTGACCACATAACTGAAAACTATATGAGAACGATACTGTATTTTCATGGATTACAGGCCAGAGGTGTCAGATTTTAATGTATAATACTTCAGCCCATATACATTATTTAGAATACTAAATATGTAATAAATAATTGATTCTCTACTTAAACAATTATAAAACCCACATCACCAAGCTTACTTTGATCCGTGCACCTCCCCCTTGTGTTTCTGCCATAATTCCTGAGAATTCTCCAAGTTGAAATGAAGAAATTGCAGATCATGCTGTTGTTTTACATAGATCTACTTCCAGACAATGATAAAGCAATTAGTAAAAGTCTGAAGAACAAGGAATATTATGTCATCTTACATTAATATACTGCTTTTCATCTCAAAAAATCAAATCACAAGAGCATTTTATTAATACTGATTTTCAACAAAAAGCATTTCCAATGGTCTCAAGGCAAATGTCAATGCAAGATTTGGTTCTACATAGTTAGGAATTACTTCATCTTATTAAAAAAGCAGCCACCCCAAATTGAAAAACAGTAGCTGCTAAACAAAACATGAAGTACATACACTATATTCTATTAGTACTATATAGAAATTATAAAGACAAAATAAAAGTGTACACACACACACACCACCTCCAGCCACACAGTGCCCCTTAATACCAAGAGATTTGACTTCAGTCATAGAGAATCTGATTTTCCAAAATGTGGAACATTCAGAGCTCCCATTGCTTTTAATAAGTACGGTGGTTCAGCACCTCAGAGAGCAAATGCCACAATTTTTAAAATTTAGTTCCACAGATCATGAAAAATTATTCCGAAATGTATTTTATTAAATACCAAAGCAATAAACAGTTGAAGTTGTTTATTTTAGTTCATGGCAAGTTTTCTTCTAGGTTTAGACCCCAGTCCTGCAAAAACTCATGCATATGCCCAATGAAGGGTAAAGAAAAGTGTGATTCCTCCCAATGGATGAAGCTGAGCACATGCATAAGTTTATGTGGGATATGGACTTTGTCACAGCACATTTTGACTTAAATCAGTACTCTAACTTTTGGTTACTAAAATCATCATGTAAAAAATAAGGATTTATATCATAGGTTCCTAGTCATAAGCAGCTCAAGCTCTAGGGTTAATAATCTAGCAATACAGAACACAACTATTACTCAATTGAACAGTTAGTTCTATTTATTTTATATAACCCTATATACACGAATAAGATTGTTGAAAATTGCCTTCTTAAACACAGAAAAGAAATGCAATGAGGATCTTACCTGCCGCAAATTGGACAGTTCTGTGTCAGTTCGGACTTGTTTAGATTTGGCAGATTGAAGAAGCTGATCTTGTCTATTTGCTTTCTCAGCTGTTTTAAAAGTGTATTAAAAACCATTATTTTTGCCATAGAATCAAAATGAAAAACTAAATACAGTCAAAAGAAATCTTACACACACATGAATGTCCAAAAAGTAATACGAACCTTAAAAAAAAATTCTCAAGATCAACAGCATACTTTTTCATGAAAAAGACATTCTTTTTATAACTCACAGGACAACTAAATAAAATATCAAGGTACCTACATTTTTTCACCTTATTAGGCACCCAACTTTGCTAAAATTTCTTAATTAGCCTTTTCAACCTCTATTGTACATTTGGAAATATGGAAAAGCGGCAATTTGACTTTCTTAATATTATTTTGCTGCAGTACAATAACGGTGCCAGCTACACTCAAAAGGAAAGTACACATACCAAGACGTACAATTACTCGTTTTTTCCTATTAGGGCATTTATACCAAATGAGTTTATTTGTCTGATGTTCTCCCTTAATGAACACACTCCCTCCCTTCTGGCATTTTCTTGCTACTAATGGGAGAAGCGGAATGCACTCAGTACCTCAGAGTGCAGTCACCTTGCAGCCTCTATACTTGTTTTACAATTTTCTATGGAGTTGTGTGAGAAGAGGGAAAATGTCAGTCATGTTAAACTATGTTATTAATACATTAGATCAGGGGTTTTCAAAGTTGGGTCATGGGCCTGCCCAGGTAAGCTGCTGGCGGGCTGCAAGATGCTTTGTTTATCAAAGCGTTCGTAAGCATAGAGTCTCACCGCTCCCATTGGCTGTGCATTGGGAGCTGTGGGAAGTGGCAAAGACCAGGTCACTGTTTCCTGCAGTTCCCCTTGGCTAGAAACAGTAAACCACACCAATGGAGCTGCAAGGCTCCGTGCCTTAAGAACACTTAAATAAACAAAGAGTCTTGCAGCCCACCAGCAGCTTACCCTGGTGGGCCCACAACCCAACTTTCAAAATCCCTGCATTAGATCACAGGGTCTAAAACAATTCAATAAAGATACTCTCCCACCAATCCTCTCAAGTAATCACCATCCTCACATAAGATCTCTGTGGTAATTACACAAATAGCTTTAGTAGAAAAGCAATACTAGGAATATACTTTTAGTTTCTTTTAATACAATAGAACAGGCGAAGGATATGACGAAATATGTCCCTCAAACCTCCAGCAAGTATTGTACACACCACGATCTGAAAATCTCTGACCCACAAAGCATTGGGTACTAAAGCCTTTCACTCACCATTAAGTACAAGCTCATTCTTCAAGTAGTTATTTTCTTGTTTGAGACGTATAATTTCTTCCCGCTGCTCATTATTTTCTTTCGTTTTTTCACTGAGATCATCTTTAAAACAAAGTGTGATCCTGAGTGAAAAACACACACTCAGATTTACAGTGCATTAGGTAACAGTTATATTACTTACCTTTTAATTTATTCATTTCAAATGTTAGTTGTTTCAGTGTCAGTTTGAAATCCTGCCTCTCTCTGCTGATACTGGATTCCCCCATTTTAGCTGCCCTCAATGCATTTTCCAGTTTTTTAAAGTTAGATGTAAATTCAGTAATATGATTGGTTGCTTCAAGTATATCTTTATCCTACAAAAATATAAAAATAAAGCATACTTCAATCTTTTTTCTTTTACTTCTTTTCTAGGTCTTGTCATTTTGTCTGATACTGATGCAACTGTGAAAGCTTCCCTTTCTAACAGTCTCATATTGACTGGGAGAAAAGACTTGCTCTGAACTCTGGACAACCAAAAATCGTGGTTACAGAAGTCCACTATTCTTACTGAATATATGGGTTTCTAAAGTGTTGAAGATTTTTCCATTTTCAGTCAAGCCAACCATCCAGCAACCTAATGAAGAGTAGTGATCAATTGTTACATCCCAGTTAATAATGGTATTAGAGTTTTGTTCAGATATTTTGGGCATGCAGAGAGAAGACAACAGATGTTACCTTTAGCTTTAGCATTGTAACGAGTTCCTGTTCCCTAGCTTGTAACTGGCCTATTTTAGCAGACAGCTCCAACACTGAACAGTTGAGACTTTGATTTTTCTCCTAATAAATAGAAGGAGAAAAAGTATTAACTAGTGATTAGTTACACTATTACTAAATAAAACTTTCAGTAATTCAACATCAAGGAACTCTTTCTTCTCATAAATATATGCACAACTCATTTAATGTCAAGAGGGAGACAACATAATTTAAATAGCAGAAACTGGAACTTGGGAACCAGGAATGATAAGACATTTAATAAGGTAACCATGTAATTGCTAAAAATCTTAGCAGTTACACTTACTGCAGGCTCTGCAGTATAAAGCTTAAATAAAATTTATATTGCAGAGCCCACAGAGAAGCCTGCCTGGGAGCATATTTGACAGGGGACGCCAGATCCATTTCCAGGGAGGCAGCTGGGCTTCTGGCTCTGCAACCAAGGAAACAGCTAGGCTGCCGGCTCCACTCCCAAGGAGGCAGCTAGGCTGATGGAAGGGGCTGCCAGATCCGCTCCTGGGGTGCAGTGTAGAGTTTAATCGATAGCATTAACTGATGAGAATCAATTTATTGGTTAAACTCTAACATCCCTAATGGGAACTGCTTGCAAACAAGGACTGGAAGATCAGGCCATTAATCAACACCTACCTCCAGGACCTGACAATGAAGAGTTGTATCGGTTGCTTTTTGAGACAGTTCCTGAAGCTTCTGTTGAGTATTTTCAAGTGTTATCCTACGATCATTTTGCTGAGACTCTAAGAGCTTTAATCTTTTGGTTAATGTTCTTATCATCTCATTTCTCTTGTGTAGTTCGTCTGAGAAAAGAGATCAGAAACCTATTGCGAGCAAATACCAATTTAAATGACGTTTCATACATCTTTTAAAAAAGCCAAAGTACTTTAACAAAGCATTTTAAAGTAAAAAACATTTAATTTCTATAAATGAAAACACAGTGATGTAATCCTGAAGTAGACATAATGATTTTTACCTGACATGCTTCTTCCCTACTTAATTGTATATTTTTGAGTTTGCAGAGAATTATCAATATTAATATATATTTTATATAAAAGCTACACAAGTTAAGTTATATTAGTGAAGTACATTTACAGTTCTTTAAAACAAAATTTACAACTGTTCCAGGTAATATTTTCTTTTAGAAATGCAAAGCATCTTGCTGGTTTTTAGAGTTGCTATAACAAATCATCTTTTAATAAGTTCTAAAGAGATCATTCCTTCCATGACATTCTAGTATTTCCATGGTAATAGGACACATTACCATGTGTTGTGAAATACCATATGAACATCACTGAGAACACAGAGTGTCCAAATGCTCATTCTGATTGGCTGGCAGTGCGTTCCTCATCATGTCACAGTTGTGCACCAATTCCTGATAGTACAGAGCTAAACTTTCATTGATAAAATACACAAAAATATTTACAACCTTAATGTTCTAGGAAAGATAGAGAGAAGAGATCAAAAACAAAGTACACTGTGGGGCTGACAGAAGAACTGAGGATAAGGGGGCAGCAACAAAAAGTGAAAGTAACAATTTAAGCTGCACTTGAACCAGGTTGATTTTTCAGCAGATTGTGACTATTTCAGACACTTTTTACTCACTTTCTAGCATGAAAAATAAACTCTGGATACTTGACATACCAAATTATTTTTAAAATCAAGTTAAAAGTGACTGTAAAAAAGGAACCACAGATAGAACAGCTAGATTTCTGTGAAACAGAAAGGGGGAATGGTAAAATCCAAGTAATTTATGTAATGACTGAAAAACAAAAAAGAGGGTCAGGGAAAAATTCAAATAGCCTACAAAGGTTATAGGCTATAGCCTGCTATAGTTTATTACTACATTAAAGCAATACTCCTTAGGTATGAGACATCATTTTGTTCTTTTTCCCCCATATTTATTGATGGAATTTTTTTAATTTATCACTTTCACTAGTAAGGATTCATAGAATCCACATGTGGCTTGAGATGGAAAAGGAATTGTATAAAAAGTGGAAACTGGGTCAAAGTACAAAAGATTAATATAAACAAATAACACAAGTATATAGGAACAAAATTAGAAAGGTGAAGGCATAAAATAAGCTCAGTCTGTCTAGAGACATAAAGAGTAACAAGAAAACATTCTACAAAAATATGGCAAGTAAAGGAAGACTAAGAACTGGGTAGGCCCATTGTTCAATGAAGAGCGAGAAATAATAGAAAATGTGGAAATGGCATGGAGATTGCGGATGATCTAGATCAGTGTTTCCCAATTTTATTTTTCCACAGAACCCCTAGAGTTGCCTTAAAAAAAAGCCCTCACCATGGCTCTGTTTCTTTAACAGGGGGCGGGGGAGTGCGGGCTCTTTGAGGAACCCTTGCTTTTGCTTCACGGATCACCAGGGTTCCCCAGAGCACCAATTGCATAACACTGATCTAGATCAGTGGTCTCCAACCTTTTTACACACAAGATCACTTTTTAAAACATCAGGACAAGCCAAGTTCTATTCCATCCCTTCCTCAATGCCCCACCTTTTCCTTGAGGCCCCACCATCTCCATTCCCCTCCTCTCCATCACTTACTGTCTCCCTGCCCCACCCTTATTCACTCTCACTGGGTTGAGACAGGAGGTGCGGGCTTTGGGGTGGGAATGAGGGATTTGGATGTGGGAGGAGGTGAGAGGTACAAGCTCTGGGAGGGAATTTGGGTGCAGGAAGAGGTGGAGAAGGGGATGCTGGTTCATGTAGGGGGCTCCAGGCTGGAGAGTGTTGGGGCAGGTGGAGCAAGGCTTGTGGATGTGAGGGTGAAGGAGTTTGGGTATGTATGAGTGGCTCAGGGCAGAGGGATCGGAAGTATGATGGGCTCAAGACACAGATTTTCAGTGTGTGGACTGTGCAGTAGTGTTGTGGGATGTGAGAGGCTTAGGACAGGGTGTTCCGGTGTACGATAGGCTCAGGGCTGGGGTGTGTGCAGAGATGCAGGAGTGTTATGATGCTGTGGCCAGATGGGGATTTGGTCCCAATTGGGGGCTTGTTGGCCAAGCTTCATTTTTAAATAAATGAACACAAAATGTTTCAGCATTGTCTTATTTATTGGAGGGGCAGGAAACCTGTTTTGGGTCAGGGGTCATTAACCCACAACAAATCAGTCAGGAACCACACAAATGAGATGCAAAAAAACAACCTTTCCAAGTCCCGGCAAGCCTCACTGACATGGCCAACTGGGACACCTCCCTCCACTGGTACCCTAGCCCCATAGGGGGAGAGTAGGTAGGACTGAGGTTCAAGGCCTCAGGCCAGATTAACTCTTCTGGGGTTCCAGGGTTAGTGGAATTTGTGGGCCCCTCTACATCCTGAGGTAGGCCCAAAAATGAGGGATCCAGTATGCAGGACGGGGCTGCCAGTGAGAGGGATGGGGGTGCAGAATCTGGGTGGAAAATAGGGTACAGGAGCAAGCTGGAGGAAGGTGTCTGGCCAGGAGGGAGGGGGCAGGAGCAGGGTACTGGTGGGTGTCTGGCTAGGAGGCAGGGCAGAGTGCTGGTGGATGTTTGTCCACAAGGCAGAGGCAGGG